AAAGGATGTGCAGGACTCGAATTGTTCCTAGATGGATACCTTTAGAGTTACAAAGGAACCTGCCTATAGTGAAAAGCAACTTATTTGCAACATCTTCAGAAGTGAAGGGTTTTCCAACAAGTAAAATGTATTTCTAACGTAACTTTGGTACCACAAGGGTTTTTATACCCACGTCACACCATTATTCTCAATGCTTAAGTGACAAAAATTATGAACTGGGTCAAAACATTTACATAATCCTTCAGTATGGCCACTCCCGAAAGGTTATAGGAAATGCACCAGTCTGTCACCACATCGAAAGTAATGATGAAACAAGGGTGACCAAAATTACATAACCTGTTTGTGGGCAACCGCCCACTTTCATTGCCCAATAAAACCTATTTTCGGGATACCACCATCGACATCTCTTGCAATTAGTCAAACTCTAACCACCCGCTGATTATTGTTTCCTATTTTGACCTGCAAACCCTTATAAGTGCACTCTTGTCGCCAAAATAACAAACATTGCCTTTTCTGTAAAACTCTAAGTAGAGTGTCCTTTCTTGCGACTCAGATAACGATAACGACCTTTTATCAACATCTGTTTTCTGTTTTAACCCGGGGTATGTTCACACGACTAAAAATCTACCTGCTTGGCTTCAAGCAAGCGAAAAGGGACTGTTATATTTAGTAGGCAATTAGGCCAGGACTTATTAGATTTTTACTATTTTTCTAATAAACAGCTGTCAACTTCGGGGGACTCATAATGCAAGGCCTGTATAGATCAGCCGAATAGAGTGCGAGGCTTATCTATTTTATGACAGTACTTGACAGCAAACTGTTTTCGATATCCCGAGATTCTTCAGGGTAGGCGTTACCCATTGACGATGAACGGAATATTTTTGAGACCATGATCAGACTTCGAATATTTGACAACCTGATGCTCAAATCCATATGAGACAAAAATATGAAGAAGTACGAGGGATCAAGAGTTTCCCATAAGACTTTGCTTCTTTGTATTTACAAGACAATCCTGACATTTGACCAAATACCAACAGCATCAGAAGCCCATAACTATCAGGTCAAGGCACATAAGTGTCAGATCCAGGCACATAAGTGTCAGATCCAGGCACATAAGTGTCAGATCCAGGCACATAAGTGTCAGATCCCACTTCTGAGAAAATATGTAGGATACGAAATTGATAATATGATAATAGCAATATAACGATAAACGTGAAAACATCTCGTCTTAGAAGATTTCGAAGTACCGCCCCGTACCATTACATTTTTACTACATGGGCAGTACGTAAACAATCCGATATGGGCAACAATATCAGGGTAGTATTAAAGTCACTTACTTGGTGACGAAACGACAACGAGTTATCCTCCTTTGGCAAGCGATAAGGGCGATATGATTGGATTGTCGGGGCCAACACCTATTTTTAGAAAAAGACTTATGAGTATCTCCCGTATTCAACCGACTCATGACAACACATGCACTAATCTACTATCTACCATTACATTAATGTACCCCAACTACTATTACGGATTCGTCGACTGAATCACGGGACCGTCATCACGACAGACTGATCCTGACCGTCATCACGACAGACTGGTCGTTAAGTCATCACGACAGACTTAATAGGAGTCATCACACAGACTCAATAGGAGTCATCACGACAGACTCAATATAACTCTTTGGTCGCTAGGTGTACGGTCAGACGTGCTGAGTTTAACGATTGTTACAAAAAGACAGTCCAGGAACCGGGATATCACGCCGACCAAGGCCGTTGTGTCAATACCCCAAATCTCCGACATTACCCCTGAATCAGAGGTAACCGAGCAATATGACTATCATTAAAGTAACAATCCCTGCACACATCCTGCCATGAGATACATTCAGACTCCAACGATTGCCAAGTGAAGATAGTTAAGCGGTCATTAAGACCAAGGATGCCACTTCGACCAAAGGCCACCGTGTCAACATCCAAAGCGCTCCGACATTTCCCCTGGTAGAGGAAACCGAGCAGTAAGTTACATAACTACCTCAACCCAGCAAACGGGCTCCGAAAGTCCCATAACAACCCCCAGAACCTGGAGGCGTCCCACCTGCGGATATTCAATAACAAGTCGTAAGCCATAAGTTAAATTATGAAGGTAAAAAGTATAGCATCTTTATAAACATGGCTTAAGACATTCATGATCATGAATATAAAACTATTATGGTTATCAATCCATGCAGTACAGTAGAATAAAGGAAACACTCAGTGATAGCTCACCTTTCAGGTAACTAAAACACCACACCCAATAGCACATCAACACCGTAATGAAGTTCACTCTACTTGGACTGAGAAGCGATGTGATCCACGCGACAATTGAAATGCATCTACGCCAGACTATCAAAGTTTATCCTGGGAGCAGGTACCCAGCGAAGGAATGGAATGTATAATGTAAACAGGCGTAAGGGCTGTCGCGTTGAGTCACACTAAGCTGCCTTGTGTAACTTCTGGAAAGTTTTAGTGTGCTACAGGGTTGGGCTCGCATGCAAAAATTAAAAAAAGTGTTTGAGATATTTCGTAAGCTTACACAGGCAAAGAATATTCGCAGAATATTGTGGAATTTTCAGCAAACAAAGATCACGAAACTAAGACTCTAGGTCTCTCTTGGAAATGCGATCAAGATGTTTTGAAATATAAAATAAACGTGAACAAGGTACAACATACTCAAGTCACGAAACGGACCATTCTTTCCAGAATTTCGACTATTTTCGATCCTTTGGGTCTAGTTAGCCCTTGCATAATAATCCGCAAAATATTATTACAGAAACTTTGGTCTGAAAAACTTACCTGGGACCAGCCGTTACCGAGTCATGTTCTTAAAGCATGGTCTGAGTTTTCGACTGATTTAGATGCATTAAACCATTTGTTAGTCGAACGACAAGTAACTTGTACCAATCCATCCTACATAGCACTGCACGCGTTTGCCGATAGCTCGGAATCTAGTTATGGAGCATGTGTTTATGTCGTTTCAAAAAACGCAAAGGGAACTGCATCGTCAAATCTACTGTGCGCAAAGTCAAAGGTAGCCCCTCTCAAATCTTTGACGATGCCACGACTGGAATTGTGCGCCGCTCTAGTCCTGTCTCAATTGACAGCAAAGGTCATAAACACCCTTGATATTAAATTTGCTCATGTTGGTCGGATTCAACCATCGTGTTGGGTTGGCTACAAACATCTCCAAACCTACTAAAGCCATTTGTTGCGAACCGCGTAGCCGAAATTCAGAGACTTACCGAGACTTTCGAATGGAGACACGTACCTACATGTGATAATCCAGCGGATATCGTATCAAGAGGTCTTAATCCCAAACAACTACTTCATTCCAAGTTATGGTTTCACGGACCCTCTTGGTTAAGTAGTCCAGATGACTGGCCTGTAATGCCGATTTCGCCTGTGGAATTACCTGAACAAAGAAAACTTTGTTTCTTATCCAAGGTGAAGTTTCACTTTCCATTTGAACGATTTTCTAATCTCGTAAAATTGAAGCGATCCTTTGCCTATATTCTGAGATTCATTGAGAATTGTAAATCCAAGTCGAGAAATAGCGCTCTTTTAACCGCGGATGAGCTTAATATCAGTTTAACTCATATGATTCGCCTTTCTCAAAAGGAGGCATTTCCCGAAGAGTATAATATACTGCAAGCCAAAGGTCAGTTAGCTTCAAATAGTAAACTATTGAACTTACATCCCTTTATGGATGAGCAACAAATTCTGCGTGTGGGTGGCAGACTATCAAATTCAGATTTTCCTTACGCGAAGAAATATCCAATTTTGTTATCTCCTAGTCACCACCTAACGAACCTTATTTTTGACTATCAGCACATCAGTTTAATGCTCCTGTCAACAATTAGAGACAATTACTGGCCTACGTCTGGGCGAAACCTTGCTAGAAAAATTGTTCGAAAGTGCGTAGTTTGTTCAAGACATAACGTACAAAGTGTTCAGCCTATCATGGGTGACTTACCTGAACCTCGCGTACGACCAAACTTACCTTTCTCTTCCATAGGTGTAGATTACGCCGGACCCTTCATAATGAAAAATAAGCGCGAACGTGGCTGCAAGCCTATAAAATGCTGGGTAGCGTTGTTTATATGTATGGCCACTCGAGCCAATCATTTAGAGTTAGTACTGTCTTTGACTTGTAGCGATTTCCTTCAAGCTTTCAATCGGTTCATCAGTAGACGTGGTAAACCACATGTGGTCTATTCAGACAATGGGACCAACTTTGTCAAGGCTAATAAAGAACTCAGAGAAATCGGTGAATTCTTGCATAACAATTCTGCCAATATTTACACATCCACTAGTAACATGGGAATCACTTGGCATTTCATACCCACTAATTCTCCACATTTTGGGGGCATTTGGGAAGCGGGTGTCAAAAGCTTGAAACACCATTTACGACGAGTCGTGGGAAGCCATTCTTTATTCTTTTTGATTTTCAAACTTTAATCACTCGCATAGAGTCTGTACCCAATTCCCGACCTATTTCCCCAATGAGTTCTAACCCTGATGACCTAACCCCCCTTACACCCTGACATTTTCTGATTGGGAGACAACCAGCATCATTGCCAGAGCTACCAGTTGCCGATGTGAGAGAAAACCGTCTCGCCAATTACCAGCTACTACAGAAATTGTACGAGCACTTCTGGGTCCGATGGAGCCGCGAATATATTAGCGAGTTGCAGCAACGGCATCGTTGGAAGCAGAATCATGGACAGTTACAAAAGGGCCAGCTAGTTTTGGTGAAGGATGACAATTGGATGACCTCCCATGAAATGGCGATTAGGCCGTGTTGAAACCCTGATTCCAGGAAAGGATGGCATCGCCAGAGTAGCAGTTCTTCGAACTTCCAATGGGACCATCACCAGGGCATTAGTTAGACTCTGCCCGTTACCTGTTGTCGGTTGACACCTCCAAGGCCGGGGGCATGTTCCGTACCTCATGTCCTGCCACTGCGTGAAGCGCCCTGCACGTCCTACCAATGAAGCCAGGTGTATTCAGGAGTGGGGGAATCTCGGGAAGACGCCGTCTTGGTCACGTAGACACTCACCACCCGTCTTCCCATGGACAAACAAGCCGCCGCATTTTTTTATATTATGAAATCACAGACGCATTTGTATCACTGAATAAATCCAACTATTAGAACCAGTGCCTATTTTCTGACATCACGCCACAAACTTATTGGGTCGTTTCTCAATCTATCTACTATTTCCCTCTTAAGCCTAATTTTTAAAAAACTACAAAGCTGTTGGCATAGTAGTAATCTTGTGTAAACATTTCAATCATATCCGAGCAGTACTTTGAAAGTTATAGACGGGCCAAGGATTAGCCGACAGATCGACCTACAGACAGACCGTCCGACAGAAATGAGTGATTTATATGTCATATAGGACCCAAATAACATAATATCCTATTTTCGAAATTTTTCGCAACTACAATATTTCCTCCGCTATCAAGCATGGGAAGTAAAAAGACGAAAATCACAAAACCTAAGAAGATATTGGAGGGCTGATTGCTGTTATTAAAAAATGCATGCATTCAACAATGATGAGAGTTATTATTCGAACCATTTTTTGCTCTAATCCTCTAATCGATAGTTTATTCAATTCTGAATTATAACCGTACATACAATTATTATGTAAATTCAGCCATCACATTACTTTGATGGACTACACAATAGAAAAATAATAACGTCCTGAATAGAATACCGATTTAATAAGCTACCCACGCATTTACTATACGTATACGTATTTCAATACATTTGAATATGATATATGAAATAGAACTACAATAAAACTACTTTCTTCGACCAAAAGATTCCATTACTATATACGAGTATAGACAGTTGACAATGAGGTCACCTGTTTTACCGTCGTCTGACGGACTGTTCTTACATGATCTCGTAATCTATCTTTAATGACACAGTGACTAAGAATGGTTAACGAACAAGTTCATGTCATGTCGTACATATGTATGTACCTACGTTTTGTTGAAATGTCCGTGACTTCTCTCATTTTATGCTTATATACTGATAATTCGACAGCGTAAATTATACAGGGTGTTTCAGAAAAACGTGCCAATATTTCTAGGGTAGACAGATATATCTAATAATAATAATAACAAGAAAACTACTCAACACCAAATTAAACTCGCAGAATCTTTTCAAAGCAATCAACAGTTGGGCAATCAGTTCACTTACATATTTGTTCGGTATTGTGAAATGGAGTAATACAGACCTTGAAGAGCTAGACAGAATCACTCGTGTAAAGTTCACAAAGTTCCACTGTCACCACCCAAAGGCATCAACCGAACGGCTGAACCTCCCTCGCGCATAAGGGAGCCGAGGATTTCTCAACATAACACAACTCTGCAAGTCTCAGGTAGCCAAATTACAAAATTACTTTAATAATAATCCTAAGATAGCTGCTATAGTGGAGGCAGATGTCTCATTTACCCCTTTGAGCTTTCGGCAACCTCAAGCCAATACGGCCTCGGAATCGAATACTAGGAGGAGAGAATGCTGGGAGGGAAAAGTCTCCATGGCCGTTATCCATGCCAACTGAGAGGTGACAACATAGATAAAGCTTCGTCATTCACCTATTTGAGAAATAGATATCTCCATCCAACAACGAAAGGGTTCATAACTGCCATCCAAGGCAAAGTAATAAAAACAAAAAACTATGAAAAACATATTCTCAAATCCAACGTCCCAGTAGAATGTAGGAAGTGCAACCAGGCGGGCGAAATCATCGAACATATTACTGGAGCTAGCCCTGCGTTGGCAGCTGGCGATTATTTGGGAAGACACTACCAGGTTGCAAAAATAGTCCATTCATAGCTAGCTCGGAAGCTTAACTTGGTACAATCGCCTCCGCCATATTACAAGTACACGCCTGAGCCAGTTCTGGAATCAAACGATGCGATACTCTATTGGGATCGGCCATTTCTAACCGACAAAACTGTAGACTTTAACCGCCCCGATTTTGTCCTGATAGACAAAAGCAACCAATATGCACAGATAATTGAGGTTGGAATTCCGCTTACACACAACATCCACAAGGTAGAGTGTGAAAAAACTGTTAAATACCAGAACCTGGCGATTGAAATGAAGAGGATTTGGAAGCTAAGGGAAGTGCAGATTGTTCCCATTGTTATCTCTGTGGAAGGGGCTGCTACCAAACAAGTCTCCTGCAGCTAGTACGCTAGTAAATGAGGATATTACACACATATTATTCAAATAATGTTGTAATGAGGTTCTAGCTCCTTCCACATGCCGTATAGTGGTCATTTACAAACATCAAACTTCACGGTGATTTCAGAACAGGAGAAGCTCAACCTTTTTATGAGAATATTTTAGGATTTTACCTCAAATGTTCAAACGTAAATATCTCCAAAACGAGTGATCTGACAGGAATTCCTTCAGAGACAAAATTTATGGAAGATTAATGACATTTTATAAAAGGCCAGTGACGTTGAAAATATTTCCTATTGATTGTACAGTTACCCCCACTTTTTATACCACTGGTGAAGTTTGTGCCGGAAGCCCCGTGTGTCCGTGCTTATGCTGTGCTCACTGAACGTCAAAAATCTTAACTCGGTATCTTCACCCGCTCCGTAAACATATTTTTTTCAATTTCGTAAAAATAAAACTTCATCCTGTATTTCGGTAGGGAAGCATCTTTGGACAAATATTTAAAGGCACTTTTTTGTTATTTTTGGATGTTCTTTCTACCCTAGAAATATATATATATATATATATATATATATATCGGAAAATATGATATGGCACTGTAGACTTTGTCAAGGATCTCGATTGCGAAAAATTGGAACGATTAAATACATATATCTCCCGATATTGATTCATCACAATAACAAGTATAACTAACAATTCAATAGATAAATTTAACAAGTTTTTAATGACATTGTTAAGGAACTTCTCAGCACTGGACAAATAACCCAAGAACAAAAAAGAACTTTGACTACTTATAACTCTGTCCCTCCAAAATTCTATACACTTCCGAAAATTCACAAACCGGTACTCTCAGTAAGACCTATAGTTGCATCAATAGATTCAGCCACCCAGGCTTTGTCTTCATTAATATCGGCAACACTAAAATCAGCACATGCAGATAATGATTACTACATGAAAGACTCATTTGAAGTCTCTCGTCAGTTCAACAGATTGCCAATACCAGCCGATCACATTATCGCCAGTCTTGATGTGGTGTCGCTATTCAGCAATATCTATCTGGATGCATGTACAAGAACTATTAATAAACACTGGAATGAGATAAGTCAACACTGCAACATATCTCTAGAATCGTTCACCAACATTATAACATTCCTCTTTCATAACAATTATTTCTCTTTCAACAACAAAATATATTCTCAAACACATGGTTGTCCTATGGGATCTGTTCTATCACCAATTTTGGCAGAATATGTCATGGATGATCTGCTTGATACTGTTGTTCCGACACTACCCTATAACCTCTTCATAAAAAAATACGTAGATGACATTATTTTATGCCTCCCCTCCATAGGTTTGGATGGTATTGTCAGAGTATTCAACAGCTATGACCCCTACATCCAATTTACCATTGAAAAAGAAGATGAGAACCTGTCTGTCCCCTTTCTAGACACAAGACTCATCCACACCAACAACAATAGTTTATTGGTAGACTGGTACTAGAAACCTATGGCCTCAGGTCGGTTTCTCAATTTTAGGTAATACCATAAGCTAGGGATTAAAATCAACTTGGTAAAACAGATGAAAACAAGGGTAATCAGCATCTCAGATAATACTTTCCACACCTCAAATTTACGTAAACTATCAAAACTGTTCATCAATAATGGTTATCCGAAGTGTCTGATTAACAAGATCTTATTTAATTCACCTTCCAATATTTTGTCGAACTCTGATGATGCAGGTAATAGTCGCACAACCCCTAATAACGGAACTGATGTAATTCCCAACAATAGCATCAATCCAAACAGTACAAGCACCAACCCGGACTCCAGACCTGGTTTTGCTGTCCTGCCCTATATCAAGGAACTGACCCCTAAGCTGATCAGATTGTGCAGTCCTTTGAACTTTCGAATTGCTTGCAAATCCGTTCTCACTATAGACTGCATTTTTTCAAAAATGAAAGACAGAGTCCCGCTGCTTGGCTTAACCAACACAGTCTACTCCATCAATTGCAACAACTGCAACCAAATATACATAGGTCAGACCTCCAGATCTCTTAAAGGAAGGATTACATCACACAAAAGTGATTCTAGGCTTCATCCTGAAAGATGCGCTCTAGCATCTCATGTTAACACAACAGGGCATTCTATGAATTACACAAGTATCTAAGTTCTTAATAAAGAAAAACACCTTTCCAAACGTTTATTCCTGGAAATGTCCCACATTTTCATGAATAACAACTGTATCAACAAAAAGACAGATGTTAAACAACTGAGTGTCATTTACTCATATTTGCTAAACTGCGAAAAATTGGAGAACTTACATATCTCCCCAAATTTTGACTCTTCACAACCATAAATGGAATCTGTTTCTTGGTCGATTCCACCAATAAACTTCATTCCACTCAAATTCTAATAATTCTCTTCTCACGATTTAATAACAATTGTTAATTTAATTTCCCATTAATTAAAATATAGTTAATTCAACTGCCTCTGGTCGGTTTAACAATTTCTTACATAACATTCTGAAAATCACATCATCTGAAGTGATTTGGCAACGTTGGCACACGCCCACAATTCGTTCCATCTTTCTACACAGACATTGACAACCTTCGGCCTTCTGTCAAAGGGTTCATCTCACTCATTATTCCATGACCACCATTTTGTGCAATCATCAAGTGGCTTCACGATGTAATGCTTTCATGTTTTTAAATAATTTTTAATCTGTTTTTAACTTGTTCTTGTCATATTTTATATAATTTTGACCATTGTACCATCTATCCAGCTTTCACCATGTTACTGGACGTTTCCCTCATCCTATACGTAAACAACAATTAGCAACATCCTCACATACTACTGTAAGTTAAGTCAATTTAAATTCATTTTACACTATTGTTGCTACTGTTACCATTGTAATTGC